CAAGATAAAGTTTTCGAGATAGAAAATAACAAAAAGTGGGGAAATAAGTCAAAACTTTGTGAAATAGTTGGTGTACATGAAAATAGTTGTTTGTTTTTTGTTCCGAAATCAAAATTCGAGAATAACTCCACGAGTCCAAGGTGCAAAATAGAAAATATAAAACTAAAATAATTATAAACCATAAATAAGGAATATACAATGGCAGCTATAAACATTTAAAACTTACAAAGTACATACACACATATATATGTACATCTATTATATACATATATATTGGTTGGTACATGTGTTCAGATGGATGGCTACTAACAGCAACATTGTGTTCTTAACGATACATAGATTACAACAACAAAACTTATAGTATTAGAAGTTTAATATTAACAAATGTGAAAATATTATTATTAATTTTAACATAAATTAGTTGGTAAATTAAAAAAAAAATAATAATTACAAAGAACATTTTGTTTTGTGAGGAGAAAAAAACTACATTTCATTTTGTGACAAAGACATAAGAAGATATTAATCTGACAATTTTTGTTGTATAGAACAGTTAAGAGGATTTTTTCTATTAATTTAATTGGTATAATAAAAATATATCATTTGTGTCAAATACGGAGAGAAATCATGTTGTTATCGGAAAAGTTTACACAATTTCTAAGTTGTTATCGACAATTTTTCTCCATAGAAATGTTGTTTTCGATAACTTTTCTCCATAGAAATGTTGTTATCGTCCACTTTTCTTCGTATAAATGTTGTTATCGACCACTTTTCTCCATATAAAAGTTGTTATGAACAACTTGTCTCCATAGAAATTTTGTTATCGACAACTTTTCTCCATAGAAATGTTGTTATCGACTACTTTTCTCCATAGAAAAGTCGTTATCGAAAACTTTTCTCCATTGAAAAGTTGTTATCGACAGCTTTTCTCTATTTAAAAGCTATTATCGACAACTTTTCTCCATAGAAAAGTTGTTATCGACAACATTTCTCTGTAGGAAAGTTGTTATCGACAGCTTTTCTCAATTTAAAAGCTATTATCGAAAGCTTTTCTCAATTTAAAAGCTATTATCGACAACTTTTCTCCATTGGAAAGTTGTTATCGACAACTTTCTCCATAGAAAAGTTGTTATCGACAACTTTTCTCCATAGAAATTTTTCTATTGTTATATTGCGTTATCGGCAACTTTTCTCTGTAGAAAGTTGTTATCGACCATAGAAAAGTGTTATCGACAACTTTTCTTCATTGAAAAATTATTATCGACAGCTTTTCTCCATTTAAACCCTATTATCGACAACTTGTTATCAACAACTTTTCTATGGAGAAAAATTATTATCGAAAAATTTTCACTATAAAAATTTTGTTGACAATTTTTTCCAATAGAAATATAGTTATCGACATTTTTTCTTAAAAAGGAAATTGCTTATGTTTTTGTTTACGTTTGAAAGTGTTTTAATCATTTATTTAAATAAATCATTACCAGATGCCAGATTTTAATGGAAGAATGATTTCAAAACACGCGCTTGCATTTATCCATTTATTGTTGGAAATTTTTGTGTATTGTACTCTATCTGAGTAGTTTTTTAACGTGATGATAAAAATGGTTTAAAAATCGTGTCAATAGATTTATTAAAAGATTTGAATTTTTTATTAATGGCAGCAGGGCATGTGATAAAAAAATTTTTGGAAATTTTAATCTTGTCTATAATTCAAGTTCAATACAAGGCCGATAAATGCTTTTCAAACAAATATAAAAAATGTAAAATTTTTGATTACATAGATTTTATATGTCTTAATTGAAATTATAAAGACCTGTTTAATACCAATTAACTTTGTAAATTCTCCATTAATTTATTTTCAGCTTTTATACCAATTAAATTAATGAAAAAACATCCTCATATTTTCCATACTGTCTACATGACATAAATACATACAAAATAAAGTTTTTTTTGTGTGCTTAAGGTTTGTTCTTGCTCTTTTGCTTTTTTTTTTTTTAAAAATAAACATTACATAGATTGTAAAAAAATCATATAACTTTTCCTTTGGATAAAAAACTTTGGTTTTTGGTGGTGTGGTGTATGTGTGTGTGTTTGTAGGGTCAAAATGATGTTGTGTATGTTTTTCATTTCTTCCGAATAGCATTTGTTTACAATACTATGTTTTTTATTATTATTTTTATTTGTTTTTATCATCTCTTATAAAATACTATATACAAATGTGATTTAAAAGCAATTAGCAGCATGGCGCTTTCTATAGGTTTTTTGTTTTTCTTGTGTGTGTGTGTTCTTTTCATTTGATCTCTCTAATTGCAAACAAGTGTTAATGAATGTTAATTTATTGTATTAAGATTTTGCGAAAAATAAATCAACAAAGAAGAAGGACCATTAAAATAACTTTTTTTTTGCTAATTTGTGCTTGTTTGGATAAGGCGGGTAGAGTTTGGTTTTTGATGGAAGAGGGGGTGTGTGGGTGTTCGCTTGGTAGTGTTAATTTGTGATTTTTGTTACTTTTGTGTTCTTTTTTCTAATTCATTGCATATCATTTCCTAGTTTCTTTCATTCCTTTTCTACAGCCCCAGCGTCATTTGACAAAGAAAAAATTAAAACGTTAAAACGAAAATAAACAGCCATATCATCACAAGAATGAACAATCATTGCATATTCTGCTAATTTTGCTTACCATTGACATTTGAAACGTCAACATAGTATGTTACACTGTGCTACAAACTATTTTAATGTTAATTAAGAGATACCGCTTCATGATAGGACCGACATTTTCTAAGTTGTCGATAACAACTTCTCTGCATAGAAAAGTTTCCTACGTAGCAATGTTATTATCGACAACTTTTCTATGTAGAAATGTTGTTATCGACAACTTTACTTTGTAAAAAGCTGATATCGACAATTTGTCTCTGTAGAAAAGATGTTATCGACAACTTTTCTATATAGAAAAGTTGTTATCGACAATTTTTCTATGTAGAAAAGTTGTTATCGACAATTTTTCTTTGTAGAAAAGTTGTTATCGACAATTTTTCTTTGTAGAAAAGTTGTTATCGACAATTTTTCTATGTAGAAAAGTTGTTATCGACAACTTTTCTATGAAGAAATATTGTTATCGAGAACTTTCCTATGTAGAAAAGTTGTTATCGACAACTTTTCTATGTAGAAAAGATGTTATCGACAACTTTCCTATGTAGAAAAGATGTTATCGACAACTTTCCTATGTAGAAAAGTTTTTATCGACAACTTTTCTAGGCAGAAAAGTTGTTATCGACAACTTTGCTATGTAGAAAAGTTGTTATCGACAAATTTTCTCTGTAGAAAAGTTGCCATCGACAACTATTCTAAGTATAATCGTTGTTATCGACAACTTTTCTACGCGGAAAAGTTGTTATCGACAACTTTTCTATGCGGAAAAGTTGTTATCGACAACTTTTCTATGCGGAAAAGTTGTTATCGACAACTTTTCTATGCGGAAAAGTTGTTATCGACAACTTTTCTATGCGGAAAAGTTGTTATCGACAACTTTTCTATGCGGAAAAGTTGTTATCGACAACTTTTCTATGCGGAAAAGTTGTTATCGACAACTTTTCTATGCGGAAAAGTTGTTATCGACAACTTTTCTATGCGGAAAAGTTGTTATCGACAACTTTTCTATGCGGAAAAGTGGTTATCGACAACTTTTCTATGCGGAAAAGTGGTTATCGACAACTTTTCTATGCGGAAAAGTGGTTATCGACAACTTTTCTATGCGGAAAAGTGGTTATCGACAACTTTTCTATGCGGAAAAGTGGTTATCGACAACTTTTCTATGCGGAAAAGTGGTTATCGACAACTTTTCTATGCGGAAAAGTGGTTATCGACAACTTTTCTATGCGGAAAAGTGGTTATCGACAACTTTTCTATGCGGAAAAGTGGTTATCGACAACTTTTCTATGCGGAAAAGTGGTTATCGACAACTTTTCTATGCGGAAAAGTGGTTATCGACAACTTTTCTATGCGGAAAAGTTGTTATCAACAACTTTACACAATTTTTCTCTAATGAATAATTGTTATCAACTACTTTTGTAAATAGGAAAGTTGTTAATGGCAACATTTGTCCATTGAAAATTTGTTATCAATGACATTTCTCTATAGAAAAGTCTTAATCGACAACTTTTCTCTCTAGAAAAGTTGTTATCCCAGGACATTATATTTCCAAAGATTCTCCCATTCTATTACTTTTTGGTCTTTTAACGAATAGTTGGTTTGGATTGTAGCACTGTGTAATCTAATACAATGTCTGTTTGTTACAATAACTAATTGTTAATAATAGTACAATGATTCAAATTACTTTCGATTTTGTTTGTTTGTTTTTTTGTTACTTTCTAAGAACATAAAATGTTAAATTATGCAAATATTAATTAAATTAAATTATAAACAAAATTAGTATACATATTCTTGAATTTTACAAACTATAAGGAAAAATCAATTATTTAACAAAACTAATCCAAAATTATACAAATTTTGACTTAATAAATTAATAATGGTTTTTAATGATTTTGTGATATTGTTTCTTGTTGTTTTTTTGTTTAATAATTATAGTTGAATGCCCTGCAACAGATGTATTTGTATTTGTTGTATTTGTTTTCATTTTCTCTATTTTTTGTTTTATTGGTTAAAATATTTATTGTGGTATTTTTGCTATTGTTTTTTGTTTTATTATTAATTAGTTTTCATTTGTTTTTCTTTTTTCTATAGACTCTTTAATTGGCAGGAATTTATAGAACAATTAAAATATTTTTGTTACTTTTCATTTCATTACCAAAAAAATAAACAATAAAAAATATGATTTACTTGTTGTTTTTTTATAAATATTTTTTGCAAAATATAAATTGTAATTATTTTTTTTTCAATTTTAGTTCTAGGTTTGTTTGTTTTTTTTTTTCTCTTCTTGTTTTCTTTCTTTCATTTTATAATAAAAAGCCTTTTTCATAGGGTTTCTTGTTTTTGTTTTGTGTTTCTCTTTTTTTAAGCTTACAATTCAACATGATAATTTCTTATTTTTAGGTAACAATACTAGAGTTGCGCCAACGAATCGGAACGCATTAAAGGAGTTGTTGGTTTGTGACCGCCTTCCACTTCATATTGCAAATCTACAGAAGCCCCTTTTCCAAAACGGATATTAAATTAATTAGTTATTGAAACTTAGATTTTGTTACCAATAAAAAATATATGAAATTCGTTACAACTTACGTCTCTTTACGCTTGGCGTCCGATGCAGTGTCGTCTCACCATGCACCTCGGGTATAAACACCGCCACCAGTATGGCCAATATCACCATTAGGCCGCCGAAAATAAACGGCGGCCCCGGATATGTAAACCAACTGTCTTCGGTAATCTCCTCACTGCTGCTGGCCACCGATTGTTCATTATTCAAATCGACATTGAATAGATAGAAAACAACACCAAACATGGCCGGTCCCAGGCCGTTGCAAAGGCCTCGCATCCCAGTTACCATGCCCTGTACAGCACCTGCCAAAAAAATTAAATGAAGAAGGGGAATTTGTTAATAAGAGTTTAAAGCTACCAAAAAAAATTTAAAATAAAAACATTTTCGCCTTGAAAAGCAAATTTTGTAAAATCCCCAATGTTAATATCCACATACTTTAAAATTTTGAGAAAATCGCATTTTTAAAAATTAAAAAAATGGAAATTTTAAATAATTCTTTTTTTAAAATTATTTTTAAAAACCTTGAAAAATATTAAAAAATTGACTATTTTGACTTTTTTATTAAAAACTATTTTGGAAAATGTTTCCCGTTGCTGAAAGTTGAAAATATCCTCACATTTTAAAAACATGAAAAACGAAATTTTTACTTCTTCGCCTAGAGGAAATTTTCTTAAAAATCCAGATTTAGGCACCAAAGGGCACTTTAAAAATATTCTTAAAAAATCGACGTTTTGATCTCAAGTTGGTCTCAAAAATAGTTTGAAAAAACATCCTTAAGGTACTACGATTGGTCCTAAAAATATTCTTACAAATCTAAGCTTATTGGTGCTTGAAAAAAATCTTGAAAATCCAGGTGTTAGCCTCGAATAGGCTTGGAAAAAGTATTCTTAAAAATTCTACAATTAAGCCAGCACTAGTCCTTGAAAACCTATCTTAGGCCTCCTCGAAAGAGAAAATTATAAAATATCAATCAACATTCGCCTTAATAAGGTAAACATTTTAAATAAAAACATTTGCAGCATGAGCCCTTATGGAATTAAAACCTACGTCCCCGCCAGCCAACGGAAAGTGTTGCCGGTTTTTTGGCGTTTTAATCTACAGCACACTTGTAAAACTTCCAAACTGGAAGACAAATACAAATGAAGTAGGAAAAACCATGGTACAATGATATCAAGGTAGGGCTATGATACCATATGATTTTAATTTTTTTATTTTCTTGGCTTAATATGTCATCTTTATTTGTTTATGTATGTGTTTTCTTTTCAAAAACAAAAAAATTGTTCAGAAAACATTCAAATTCGGATGTTTTCAAAATGTTTATTTCATCGTATGCATCGACAAAATCTAGAGTTTTTGTAGCGAAATAATCCTTTAGAAATATATAGAACCTGGTTTTGAAAAGAAGTGTTGACCTCTCATTCGGTTTTCGCGGTTTTCAATTATTTATTCAAAATAAATGCAACAAGTTGTTTGATTTTTTTATTGTTTTGATACTAATTCTGACATTATAAGCCAAACAGGTAGACCTCTATACTTGCAATTTTTTTCAAAGTTGGCCTACCTTCTCTTCATTGTACCATGGGAAAAACCATGCTTTGGAAAATGTTGAGCATTGAACACTTCTTTCTACAGTCAGACTATAGTACGCATTAATGGAACTTCCCAAAACTGATATTCATGTTTATACTAAAATAACATCTAATATACCTGATGCGCCGCTGAACCAACAGCGAAACGTGTTTGTCCTTACAAGATATATTTAAAAATCCACGCTTTGTTCTCCAATAATAGTTGAAAAAAAGTTTTTTTATAGATCCAGGTTTAGGTCTATAATATCCCTTCAAAAATAGTTTTATACATCCACGTTTAGAATTAGTCCTCAATTTTTTTTTTTTTAACCAGCTTTTATGATTCCCTTAATCCTCAAAAGAGTATTTTTATAAATCCACGTTTAGAATTCCATAAGTCCTCAATAAAGTATTTTCATAAATCCACGCTTAGAATTTCATTAGTCCTCAAAAAATATTTTTAGAAATCCATTAATCCTAAAAAATATATTTTTAAAATTTCACATTTTGACATTGAAAAAATATATGTTTATAATGCTTTTTAGGCCTACGATAACCTTCGAAAAAAATTTGCGAAGGTCTCCATTAGCCCTACTTTTTTTTAAAAAATCCCCGTTCCATTAGTCCTAAGAAATATATTTTTTAAATTTTACACTTTGCCATAGAAAAATATATTTTTAAAAAGCCCTTTTAGGGCTACGAAAACCTTCGAAAATACATTTATAAAAAAATCTTGCGAAGGTCTCCATTAGCCCCTGTTTTTTTCAAATGCCTCGTTCCATTAGTCCTAAAAAATATTTTTTTGAATTTCACGTTTTGACATTGAAAAAATGTATTTTTATAATGCCTTTTAGGCCTACGATAACCTTCGAAAACATTTTTAAAAAAATCTTGCGTAGGTCTTCATTAGCTCTTATTTTTTTTAAACTTTATTTAGGCATCCAACAGTTACAGAAAAATATATTTTTAAGTCCACATTTTTGCTTCAAAGGATCTTGAAAGAAGTTTTATTAAAATATCCACAAAAAGTCCTTGAAAAATGTTTTTTTTTTTAAGTCTACGTTTAGGCCTGTAACAATCCATTAAAAAAATATTATTAACAATCTACATTTAAGCATCATTTAGTCCTCGAAAAATAGGTTTAGTAAATTTTTAAATGTGAAGGACTTTCTCGGTTGTTCGTTTGAGTGTTTTGTGAATTTAAGGTCAATGTTGTTCTTCTACAAACATTTTAAATTGAGGACATCTTCTACTCTTTTGGATCTTTTTAAGTTTTCGAGATCTGTAAGGAACCTGCAAATTGTTATACCACGCTTGACTCCTCTGTTAGAAAAATACTTCTTTGTAAGAATTGCTCGCATTTTCAACAATCTGCCACCTAATCTTAAGACATTTAATTCTTCATAAAATGTTATAACCGTAAATTATATGCTCATTTCAATATTGTTTAAAATATATGGTTTTCACTTCTTCAATGAATTGTGATTTTTGCTCATCTTTTTTTTGTTAATTTTTTTAATGTTAATTTTTTAATAAGATTTTTAAGATTAAGGATGTTATAAATAATTTAGAGTAGTCATGTATAGGAGTTCTTGGAACCGCCAATCTTCATTTTTTGTTAATTTCTAAAACAAATTAAATGTTTTATTTTAAGTAAGTCTTTTAGGATTAAGGATATTATAATTAATTTAGAGTAGTCATGTATAGAAGTTTTTGGAACCGTCCATGGCCCTGTTGGCTAGGTTTCTATGCAAATTGAAAATAAATAAATAAAAATAAAATAAAAATACCCTTTCGAATCTTCGAAAAAAGTTTTTTTTCAAATCCTCTTTAGACCCATACAAATATTTGAGAAAATATTTTTTTAAAATCCACGTTTCGATCGCTAATAGTCCAACGGACTTAAGGACTTAAATTGTTTAAAAAAAAAAGACTTTTAAGCCCCGTTAGCACTTAAAAAATATTTTTTTAATCCGGGCTTTATTGTCAAATAATCCTTCTAAAATATATTGAAAATCTTCCAATTTGTCTCGCTCACACCTTAGTAAATATTTAATGAAAACCTCTAAGAACTTCTTTAAATAATTTCTTTGAGTTCCTACCTTGACTATCTGCTGTCGAATGTATTGACACAAAAGCACTTATAGCCGGATATGTTATAGAACCAAGAGCTGCCAAAATACCAGCTGCCCACATCATCCTGAAAAAGAAATAATACAAAAATGCAATTAAAATCCATTACGAGAAAGACTTAGAAAACATTTGATACCTACCACTTTTTACTGCCAAAGCCATACCAAAATAGCTGTGTCATTTCCAGTATCAAGCCCAATATAATTGTGCGTTTCGCTCCGATTTTTCTGGAAAAAAATAGGAAAGTTATGAAAATGTTATTTTATCAATTCAAACATTAAAAAAATTCCATTTTGTAGTCTTATAGTTGTCCTAATAATACTGATTTAAATGGATCCTCAATTGACATAATATCAAGCTCAAATGGAGGGAAAATTTTACTCAGCGTTCTATTCCCCACGTGACACAATCTATGATTCAAATGCTAGGAAAACAAGTAAAATAGTATCATTCGGTTTTGCCGACCGATGTATACCCCCAGCCTTGAGTTATGATTATTCAAACTGTTCTCCCTTTATGGGAGATGTTCCAAAGCAGTTGGCCAATATTGACCAATTCGTATCTGACCTAAGACTGAGAAAAATATTACAACATGCCAGATTTGTGAGATATGTGCAAATTTTTGGAAATGTGGAAATATGCCTGAGGTAACAAATATAGCTGAGGTAACAAAATACAGATAAAAATATTGGTATGTGCAAATTTTAAAGGAAATCGAACATTTATACCCAATTTTATGCGAAATCATAAATTCCGATAAATTACATATTCATATCAGATTTCTGGTTAAGAGAAGTATTTAGTTGTAAAGAATCGCTGACTTGTTTTGCAAGTTAGGACAGATGTAAGTATTGGAAATTGTGACCCTTTGTGGGTGAGGTACCAAAAGGGGTTGGCAGATATATATCATCTTCACAACAGATTCTGCGTTAGCAAAATATTTGTATGTGTGGCATTTGAAGAGAGTTAGATGCTTATATCGCATTCTTTGAGTGTTTTGATTATTCAAAACTTTGACCCATTATGGGGGAGGTACCAGAAGATATGCTCCGATCTCTACCATCTTTAAAACAGATCTTGTGTTCATGCAAATTAATGTAATTGGATGTTAATTTAGTGTTTTTTGAACTTCATGAATATTCAAAATGTTGACCCTTTGTGGGGGAAGTACCAGATGGAGTGGTCCGATATATATCATCTTCACACCAGACATTGGGTTAATAAACATATGGTGATGTGTGTAATTTGAAGAAAACCGGATGCATATTTCGGATTTTATGATCATTTTTGTTATTCAAAACATTGACCCTTTGTGTCCGATCTCTACCATCTCTATAACAGATCTTGTGTTGATAGAAATATTGAGATGTGCCAAGTCTGAATGGAATCGGATGTTAATTTCGTGTTTTATGTACTTCATGAATATTCAAAATGGTGAGCCTTTGTGGGGGGACCAGAAGTAGTGAACCGATATATTCCATCTTCAAACCAGACCTTGGGTTAATAAAAATATTACCATGAGTGTAATTTGAAGAAAACCGAATGCTTATTTCGGATTTTATGATCGTTCTGGTTTATCAAAACTTTGACCCTTTGTGGGGGAGGTACCAGAAAGAATGGTCCGATCTCTACAATCTTTATAACAGATCTTGTCTTCATTGAAATGTTGAGATTTGCGAATGGAATCGGATGTTAATTTCGCGACTTATGAGCTTCATTTTTTTTCAAAATTATGACCATTTGTGGGAGAGGTACCAGAAGTTATGTTAACACCAGACCTTGGGTTAACATAAATATTGCGATGTTTGTAATTTGAAGAGAATCACATTTTATAAGAGTTAAAATTATTCAAAATTTTCAGACTTTGTGGGGGAGGTACTTGATGGAGTATACCGATATTGTCCATTTTCGCACCTGACCTAGCACTGATGCAAATATTAGGATTTGCAAAGTTGGAGCAAAATCGGATTATCGTTTGTCTTTCTGTGCAGAAAATATATTTTTTTGAAAATTTGGAATTTTTCTGGGAGAGGTACCTAATGGAGTGAACGGACATAGTCCATTTTCTCACCTAACCTAGCACTGATGCAAATATTAAGTTTTGCAAAGTTAGAGCAAAATCGAATTATCTATTCTCTTTCTGAGCAGAAAATATATTTTCTTTAAAAATTTCGTTCTTTTATGGGGGAGGTACCAGAAGGAGTGGACCGATATTACCCATCTTCGAACTCGATATAAGTTTGATAGTAATATTACGATGTACTAATTTTGGGCCAAATCGGATACTTCATTCGAGAGTTATGGTGCGTATAAGCCAGCCAGACAGACGGACATCGCTAGATCGACTCCAAATGTTCTGAAACGGATTTGGTCGAAAGAGACCTAGGGTCTAAAACCGTTATTTCAAGGAGGCACGTTTTGGCCGTATCAAATGATATATACCCTTTGTGGCTGAGGGTTAAACTCGCCATATGAGGTCGTTAATTAAGGGCATAGTAGGAATTATAGTAACTCAAATGTAGGTCAGAATAGGCCGTAAATTCAAAATTTCAGACAATCTCTTGTGAAATATATTCTTAAAAGTCCTTTCCATTGATTCCCAATCCTGGTTAGGAGATAAATATTGCCCTGAAATATTGTACCTTCAACTCTTTCTTATTAAACCGTTTGTAACACCTCGAAATATTGATGATAGACCCTACAAAGTATATATATTCTGGATAAGCGTAAGATTCTAGGACGATATAGCGATATCCTTCTGCCTGCATGTCTGTCTGTCTGTTGTAATCACGCTATATTTCGAACGAATTGAGATGGAAGGCTAAAATTTTGCACACATATGTATTTTGCCAGTAGGCAGGTTAAGTTGTAAATGGTCCACGTTTTCGTATAGCCCCCATATAACGGTCCATTCCGATATTCGGTATTTGGATGATTTTAGCGACATTATTCAACCAAATTGTTTTAAATTCCGTATCCGAAGATTGTAATAGATACTACAGCCTGTACCTAAAAATGTCGTATGCCTGTCCATGTCTTCGTATAGCCTCCGCATAACGGTATAACGGTATTTTGCGCAATTTTTTGAAACTTTTCAAGTTCAAGGAAGACTTTAATCTTTTTAGTCAATCAAAATGAAAATGATTTTTAAAACAAATTCCCATGTTGGTTTCAAAGACTCGGACGACTGTACCCGTCATTCATTTCTTCTTTTTGTTGCTGTTTTTTTTCTGTCTCTACTGCATCACCCATATTTCGTGTAACCTATGCAGTTTTATTTCCATTCACACTTTGCTTCAGTGCGAAGCTTTGACGTGTGTCAGTTTTCTGTTCTTTTTTTTTTTCTTCATCTAAACATTATTTGCGGTTTGCTGGTCGTCACTGCATCGGAGTGTATATTGGTTATCGATTGAATTGAAAATACTTCTTTCTATATATGCGTACAAAAAAATGCTAGCCCCCACCGCCGAAGCCGTAGCCACAGCCACTAGCAAAAAAACATTAACTCACCTCATAAAACAGCCCAGCGTTACTTGGACACTGATACTGAGTATACCGACAACAGCTATAAATATCGCCACTTCCATCGTATTGAAACCCATTTTCAATTTCAAATAGACAAATATACAAGAATATTGGCCAGCTTCGGGCAGGTAGGATAATAGCACCGTAACACATTGCATTAGCACCGTGTGATCTGTGCCAACTTTACGCAGAGCCTGCAATGGGAGAGAAAAATGAAAACAAAAAAATAACAACAAAATTTTATGGAAATTTAATATTGAAAATAAATGCTGTAATTTATGCAGGTAAATCTCATTACAAGGTGCAAGGTGCATGCAAGCTTTACATGACGGAGGTAAGATAAATTTATTATGTTCATAATTTCTATGCGGGCAAAGTGGTGATGACGACAGGTACCATCACATCATTGCAGGTTGAGTAAATAACGAAATGACGTATGCATGTTTGAATGACTACGGTTTCGGATGCCCATGACATTGACTTACAGCAAAGGGATCTGCCTGTTCCCAATTGATGGGAGCACCCCATGACGAAGGCCTCACTTTGTCTGGCAAACTTTCTGGTACAGCCACCAATATAAAGAACACATCTAATACTGCTATGGCTGTGGCCAAGGCCACCACTAATGTATCGCTATATCGTTCCATTAGTACAGCACCAAGAGCGGGAGATATAACCTGAAAGAATGAAGGAATAAAAATACAAGTTAAAAAATGTGAATGAAGAGGATATAACGGGAAAATATGTAAGGGAGATAAGGGAGGTCCTGATGACTTCTTTACAAGAAGTCTTCAAGATTTCATCTGAACGAGAAGACCTTGAGTTCTTCTTGCATACGAGAATTCCCAGAGGTTTTCTTCTATACATGGAGGAGAAGACCTTGAGGTCTTCTTGTCTACTAACAGACCTTGAGGAGTTACTAGAAGACTTGGAGGCCTTCTGCTATACAAGAAGACCTAGGGGTCTTCTTCAATACCAGAAGACCTGAAGGTCTTCTGCAATACGAGAAGACTTGGAGGTCTTCTGCTACACTACAGGACCTTGAGGGCTTTTTCTCTATGGGAAGACCTGGAGGTCTTCTGCTATACGAGAAGACCGGGTGGTCTTCTTCTCTATTAAAATATCTTGAGGTCTTCTTCTCTACTAAAAGACCTGGAGGTCTTCTGCTCTACTAGAAGACCTGGAGGCCTTCTTCTTCACTAGAAGCACTGGAGGTCTTTTCCTGTACTAGAAGACCTGAATGTCTTCTGTTATACTAGAAGACCTGGATGTCTTCTGTTATACTAGAAGACCTGGAGGTCTTCTGCTATACCAGAAGACGTGGTGGTATTCTGCTATACCAGAAGACCTGCAGGTCTTCTTTTATACTAGAAGACCCGGAGGTCTTCTTCTATACTAGAAGACCTGGAGTTCTTCAGCCATACTAAAAGACCTGGAGGTTTGCTGCTATACGAGAAGACCTGGAGGTCTTCTGCTATACGAGAAGACTTGGAGGACTTCTGCTATACGAGAAGACCAGGAGGTCTTCTGCTATACTAGAACACAGAGAGGTATTTTGCTATACTAGAAGACGTGGAGGTCTTCTGCTGTACCAGAAGACGTGGAGGTCTTCTGCTGTACCAGAAGACGTGGAGTTCTTCTGCTATACAAGAAGACATGGAGGTCTTCTACTATACTAGAGAACCAGGAGGTTTTCTGCTATACTAGAAGACCTGAAGGTCTTCTGTTGGACTAGAAGACCTAAAGGTCTTCTGCTATACTAGAAGACCTAGAGGTCTTCTGCTTTACTAGAAGACCTGGAGGTCTTCAGCTATACCAGAAGACCTAAAGGTCTTCAGCTATACCAGAAGGTCAGCTATACTAGAAGACCTGGAGGTCTTCAGCTATACCAGAAGACCTGGAGGTCTTCAGCTATACCAGAAGACCTGGAGGACTTCTGCTATACGAGAAGACCAGGAGGTCTTCTGCTATACTAGAACACAGAGAGGTATTTTGCTATACTAGAAGACCTGGAGGTCTTCAGCTATACCAGAAGACCTGGAGGTCTTCAGCTATAGCAGAAGAACTGGAGGTCTTCAGCTATAGCAGAAGCCCTGGAGGTCTTCAGCTATACCAGAAGACCTGGAAGTCTTCAGCTATACTAGAAGACCAGGAGGTCTTCTTCTATACGAGAAGACCTGGAGGTCTTCTTTTATACTAGAAGACCCGGAGGTCTTCTTCTATACTAGAAGATCTAGAAGTCTTCTTCTATACTAGAAGACCGGACAGAAGACTGGAAGACCCTTCGGTTATCCTCTTATCTTCTCTTCTCATTCAACTTCGTTTTATTTTCCACTCACCAAACTGGCAGCAAATGTTGCCGACACCAAACCATAGGCACGTGAACGCTCCTCCACGGTCGTCACATCGGCCACATAGGCAAACACCACCGAAAATGTCACCGCAAAGATGCCGCTAATTGAGATCATAGCAAAAAACCACCAGGTATTTATTGTCATCAGAGGTATCGGAGCACAGGTGAAGAATACTGTTATGAGTAGAAAAAATTTGCGACCCCAGATATCTGAGAGAGCACCAATAAGGGGGGCGCTTAGGAATGATAGGATGCCTTTAATGCCCATGACTAGACCATTCATGAGGAATGTGTGTTCGGGAAAGGTTTGATTTAACACCTGGCGAAGAAAAAAAGAAGAGAAAATAATTAGTTGCGGATCCATAGGGTATCTCGGAAGGGGAAAACACTTACCGATATAACTGGCATTGTTAGTAGGCCCCAGGCAAAAAATTCTAAAAATATCACAACCATGGCATGATGCACACTTGGCGCTCCAATTCCAGAACTCTGTAAAGAAATGAAAAAAAAAAATGGGTATTTAAAACAACAATTTTCAAAATGGAATTAATTGAAATGTTTGTTTTTGTTGTTATTGTTTTGGTAATCAATTATCTTTGCCATTTGCATAGGTTTTGTGGAAAACTACCATTATTTTGTCCTTTTCTTTGTCTTTTTTGTTGTTGTTGTTGTCGTTAAGTGTCCAAACGAGATTTCTATGAAGTAATCACTGCTGGTGATGCTGCTGCTGCTGCTTTTTGTAATGTTTTCATCTCACTAATGCAACATGATCTGACCGGCCTGCCTGCCAGCCAGCCTGAGCTTGGCATTCACTCTTTCATCATTCGCTTCATTTGTTGGCCGGCCAGGCCAGGCCATTCATTCTGTCAGTCAATGTTTATTTAAAATTACACTTTAGAAAAGCTTAGTTCTATTTATTTGTTCAGCGCGATGATATTTAATACGTTACGAACTAACTGCCGGGCTAGCTGGCTGGCTGGCTGAATGTCGGACAGACGGAGAGGCAGATGGACGGACTGGATGACCGTTGCTCTTTAAATAATTTTTTTTTTTTCATTTTTTTTTGTCTAGGGGTGTCAAATTTCGAATCATTTAAGGGATGCCGAAATGTAAAGATAGGAAAGTCGGGGAATTGGGAGAGGGAGGAATTGGAAAGAGCATTGAATTTTAATAAAGAAATAAATAAGGGGTTTCTTACCCAGTTTAAAATATCATTCTCTGTGGGTTCTAAGAGGACTTAGGTAGTTGTATTTTGGATCTCTCTTATAAAAATACTTAAGTTTGGAAAACATAAGAGGCCTAAGGTTAATAGCGCCTGGCCAAAGGGCGAAAGAAGTATATCAAAATCGAATAACAAAAATTGGTGATTGGAGTCACTCTACTTTCGGGATAAGTATACATAATGGGTCATGAATTTTCGGGTCGTTTAGAAAAGAGCCCAATGGCAAATATGGGAGGAAAGGGTAAATAGAAGGAAGAGTAGGAAAATTTTAACAAAGAAGTAATGAATGGGATAATACCCTGTTTAAAAAAAAATATCATTCGCTGTTGAGGAATCCTACAGGACTTGGGGATCTATTTTTCGTCCCGCTGTAAAAATACCAAAGTTACATTGTTACCCTAAGGATCCGATCTTATTGCCAATTGTGGAGTTGTATTTTTGATCTTCGTTATAAAAAAGTAAGGAAAATAGAGCCCTAAGGCTTCCTAGGATCTGATCAAAGGCGGAGAGAAGTATATCAAAACCGAATAACTAAAACCGGTGATTGTCTTCACCCTACTTTCGAAATAAGTATTTTTAATGGGTCAACAAAATTGAAACTAATGAATTTCCGGATTGTTTGGCAAAGGGCCGGATAGCAAATATGGGAGAAAAGGGTGAATAGGAGGAAGAGGAGGGAAATTTTAACAAAGAAGTTAAAAATGGGTTTAATACACTGTTTTAAAGAAACCTTTCTGTTTTTAGGGATCTTACAGGACTTGGGGGACCTATTTTTGGTCTCCGTTATAAAAATACCAAAGTTGCGAAACATTGTTACCCTAAGGTTCCGAGCTTGTCGCTAATAGACATGAAAAATACTAGAAACAAAGGAAAGAAGTAAAAAAAGCAGTTAGTTCGACCGTCTAACATTTGGAACTAATTTGGAAATTTTCAAAAAAAAAAAAATAAATAAATAAAAAAAAATCCGTCAAAAATTCTGTTAAAATTTTAAAAATTCCGAATATTTCAGAAAAACGGCTATATTCGGTATTTTTAAGATTTTAATAGAATTTTTAAGGGATTTTATTTTTTTCATGATTTTTTTAAAATATTTTTTTTTTTTGAAAAATCTACACGAAGACGTGGACCTGCATAGTCAACTTTGGTCATAAGCCATTGCAATATTCAAATATGAAACTTGAAAAAAAATCCGCTGAATAATGTGGCTAAAATCATCAAAGTACCGAATATAGTGAGGTACCCTTATATGGGGGCTATACAAAGACCTGGACATGCATAGAAAATCCTCTGTGGAAGGCTGTATCACCCATTAGGAACTTCAAATACCAACTTTGAAACAACTCCGGTGAATAATGCCCCAAAAATCATCAATATACCGAATACAGGAAGGTACTGATTTTTGGGACCTATACGAAGACTTGGATCAGCATAGACAATTTTCTGTCATAGGCTGTGGTACCCATTTAGGAACATCAACTATGAAATTTCAAACAATTTCGTGGAATATTGCACCTTAAATCGTCAATATATAGGGAGGTACTGATATATGGGGCTCATACGTAGACCTGGACCTGCAGAGACAATTTTCTGACATAGGCTGTAGTACCCATTACGGACTCTAAATACGAAATTTGAAACAACTCCGGTGAAAAATATAGCTAAAATCATCAAAATACCCAATATATGAAGGTACCGTTATATGGGACCTATACGAAAACCTGGACCTGAATGAACAATTTTCTGGCTCAGGCTGTAGTACCTACTAGGAACTTTAAATACGAAATTTCAAACAATTTCGGTGAATAATGTCACTAAAATCATATCGTGGACTTATATAGACAATACTCTTCCAGGGGGTAAAGTATTCGGAAGGAACTCCTTTTGTGGATTTAAAGACAATTATTGGAAAATATGGCTAAAATTATCAAAATACAGAATATCGATGGACCGTTATAGCCCATCGTCGAACTTGACCTGCCTGCAGACAAAAGACTGATCTGTGCAAAATTTTAGCTTTCTATCTTCATTCGTTTTGACTCTAGCGTGATTAAAACAGACCGACGGACGGATGGACAGGAATTTTAGAATTTTACGCTGATCAATAATATATATACTTTGTTGGATCTAAAATTATTATTTCGATGAGTTACAAACGGAATGACGAAGTTAATATAACCTCCATACTATGTATGGTGGAGGTTATAGTAACGAAGGCCGTGTATTGGATTCGTTCTACTTGAGGGATATGTATCCAAAAAATGGAAAAAACGACATTATCGACTTTTTTTTTTGAAAATACCAGGCTGGAAATATGGAACATATGGGGTAATCTGGAATGTCGAAAAGGTAGGATTTGGGGGCATTATAATAAAGTATTAAGTAAATGGACTGAGTTTTGCCTTGTTAAGGCGAAGATCATATGTTTTTATGATTTATGTGTTTGTTTTCTCTTTCGAGACGAGCTTAATGATATGAAATTTGCAGTGAAAAGGAAAGCCAGATAGACACTATCACACACTCACCACTATGCGACGCGTTTCGCCGTTGGTTAAGCGGCTCATCAGGCATATTTGATGTGGATGATGGCTTACAAGGGCCGTTCTCTGGAAAGTAGTATATATTTCGAACTTATTGCAAATTAGCATATGCGAATTATACACTAGAAACTCTCCAGGTTCGACTCAAGTTCTATTTTATGGGGATTTTATTTTAGGTCTTCGATATAAAAATACCAAAGAAATGAAAAATTTAGTCCTAGGGTACCCATCTTTTTAAAAAAAAAAATGTGAGAAGTTGTCAGAAAACGAATGACAAAAATAAGGGACTGAATTCGTTCTATTTTCGGGATATCTACACTTAATGGACAAAAATTAGAAATTAAGGATTTTTTCGGATTTCTTGGAAAAATCTCAAATGGCCAAAGGAGTATAGGGGAGAGAGAGAACAATTTATATAGTGAAAAATAAATTTTCAGCTGCAATGCAACCGGGTGTAATTGGAAGACCTCGAGGAGTCCTTTTGAATAATTAAATTAGTAATTAGTATTTGGAAAGGAATTTGAATTTGATTTGAAGAAGCCATCCTCTCCTCCTTATGATCCAAGTAATTTTACAAACACTGTTTTCATATCTGTTACAAAATTTTTAAATGAAGAAATATTCTGCTAATCTGATTAGATAATAAAACTTTATTCGCATTCCATGTAGGCACTTTTTTAATGTCATGAAACAGATACGAAGCTGAAGATGTTTGGTTAAAAAAACACAGGTAGCTACTATCTGCATTATTTAACAAGACATCATGGTTGCGATATTTTTATTTTTATTCTGTTTTATTTTTCTTTAGATAAGAGCGAGAGCTTGGCAGGTGACAGGTCATTCAACTAGTTTGCCCAGCAAATAGATTTTCAAACAGGAGACAATCATCCAAAGGTCGTCGGCAAGTGGAAAACTTTGTTTGGAGCTTTTAAAGATAACTGCTCCAACACATGTTTCCTTTAGATAGGGGACCTCTTGAGGGTTTTTAGATATAAACGGAAAACTGGAGACCATGTAATGTTCATCTGCATGGAAACATTTATTTGGGGAAATGGAAAACTTTATATGGGGCTTTTATAGATAGGTAATTAAGAACATGAATTATATGACCTTTATTAATTTCATGACCCGTAGAAGGCCGTTTCCAAGACGTTTAAAGATGAGATTATTTATTTAGACGTTTAAATGATTTATACAAATAGATGACCTTCTAGATTTGATGGTTCCTTTTCTGGAAAGACATTGGAATTTTCTTTATGAGAAACTCTTGAAGACTTATTTATAAGAAGACTTTGTGATCTTTCTTATATAAGGATTTAAGGTTTTCTTTTTGAAATAGTCAGGTCTTCCACATGAGCTTCCTCTGTGAAAAGAATATCTCGATATATTTCTTTATAAAAAGTGTGGTGTGTGACCTTGGAATATTTCATTTATTTATTTATTATTATTTTTAAACCCTCCACCATACATAGTCATTCCGGTTGTAACTCATTCTTGATCAACGTAAAATTCTAAGACAATTTAGTCCAGTTCGACCGTCCATATGTTGTAATCAAGCTAGAGTCAAAACGAGTAAAGATAGGAAGCTAAAATTTTGCACAGATCAATCTTTTGCCTGCAGGTAGGTCAAGTTCGAAGATGGGCTATATCGGTCCACACTATCGTATAGCCCCCTTAAAAGGGGTACCCCCCCGATATTCGGTATTTTGATGATTGTAGCCAAATTGTTC